AATATGTCAGCAAACACATTCCGCAATTTCTTTTATTTTAGGTGCTTCAACCCTTCCTTCTACGCCGAATAAAGTCTGACGTAGAAAAGTCCCTTTTGCCTAAAAAGGAAGTCAAGGTACGGTGTTGACAATTAAGTGACTATTCAGAAAATTTTGAAGGCTACGTTTGCGGTAGGCTCTGGAAGGGTTTGGAGGATCGTGGGGTTGCTCACTGTAAGCCAGCCCGGAAAAACCAGAGAATCCGTCGATAAAACGCAAAACGAGACCCCCTTGTTTGGCCGCTGTTTTCACTCATGGACGGGCAGTGGCTAAGGCAGCGGACGTATGGACGAGTTTACCGCAACGCGTTTGGTGGCACCATGCCAATCCATGCTCCAGTCGAGTTGCTCCAGTTGTGCCGCTGCTGGCAACAGCTCGTCCAAATCACTAAATTTGTGGGCGAAACGCTCAGGGGGCGGGGAGATTCGCAAGTATGCCCACCAGCCAGCGTGAAAGCGCTACACTTTGGTTCCTTGGCATACTGCTTCTGTGGCGCATATGCTTGCTCAGCACGCTCCCTAGTTATCGTTATCGCTTCCTTTAATAAGTATGCAGTAATGGGAAAACAATTTAAAAAAATGTGGGGATCAATAAATGAGGTTTACATCAATTAGCATGACCTTCCCTTCTGTTTCACCATCGAGGGCATAAAGCTATGTATTAGATTACCAAATGTGAGGCTTGGTTTTGCACACATTCATTAATTATTCAGTCATCATTAGTGAGGTAATATGTACTCCTTATTTTTGATGCTACAGCAGGTTTTGCTTGTTTACGTAGATGGTTTTTTTTTCAGATCTATGTGGGCCTGTCGAAAATGCAACGAGAGTGGTATACAAAAGTTCTTATGAAGGACATCGACGTTATAAATGGAGCTGGAAAGGTTGAGAAAGCAAGGTGCGATTTCATCACTGTGCTCACGGAGCTAACTTACTAACTGTTCGACAAGCTGTACTGGGGGAGAGTTCCGCAAGGGTTTCTAATTTTTTTCAGGCTGATGAATATTTTGATGCACTTGCGTAAGGCAGCTAATCACCCTTATCTTTTCGACGGAGCTGAACCTGGCCCACCATACACAACGGATCAACACCTTGTTGATAACAGTGGGAAAATGGTTGTGCTGGATAAACTGCTCGCAAAACTCAAGCAACAAGGTAATTTTCACCTGGGTGTGTTTATCATGGGGTGGTCTTTGGTCATGTATTCTTTTCCTCTTGGACAGAAGTGACGTAGTGATAAGGTCAGTGGATGCCACTGGTACGGTCTGTGGGGTTGATATTAACCTTATTCAACCATGCCTTTCAGTTGGAACTGAGGGTAAATGCGAGGATAAGATAATGATGCAGATGAGGCGTCCAAGGCCCTAATCAATTTTGAATTACTCTACGGCTCCTGTTTCTCGTACTCCTATTTGATATACTAACACCTAGCGGCATCCTTTCATTTGCCAACTGTTCTGTTTTTCAGGCTCTCGTGTTTTGATTTTCTCTCAATTCTCAAGAATTCTTGATTTACTGGAAGATTACTGTTGGTGGAGGCAGTACCAATACTGTCGACTTGATGGTAATACGGCTCATGTTGACAGACAGGAATCTATAGATGCATTCAATGCTCCTGATTCTGAGAAATTCATATTTATGTTAACAACGAGAGCTGGAGGTGAATAGATAACATCATTATCCCTTCTTCCTAAGAAAATGGTCTTTAATTTCTTGAATTTCAAGGTCTTGGTATAAATTTGGCGACGGCTGATGTGGTGATCATTTTCGACTCAGACTGGAATCCACAAAGTGACTTACAGGCAATGGATCGTGCGCATCGAATCGGGCAGAAGAAACAGGTATTTATCTCAAACAAAGAAATTGCTGGGTACTTAATATAACAAAGAATCATTAAGGTTCGCGTGTTCCGTCTAATCACGGAGAATACTGTTGATGAAAGAATTATCGAAAGAGCCGAAGTAAAGCTAAGGTTGGATTCGATTGTTATCCAACAAGGAAGGATAGCAGAAGCACAAAAAACGCTTGGAAAGGATGACATGATCAATATGATCCGCCACGGTGCAGAATTGGTGAGCCATTAAAATTTTTGACTTGTCATTCACTTTTCTAATTCGAAATAAAATAGATCTTATATTTTTCTTTCAACTTCAACGAAACACTCGGGACGGTCCTATTTTCCGGGTCAGGGTTTCAGCTAAAATACTAATAGTATTTCATTGTGTTGGGTTTGCATCTCATTTTTTTTTCTTCCAAGCATGTATTGTTTCAGGTATTCGCTACAAAGGACTCAACTATTACGGATGATGATATCGACGTAATCCTCGAGAGAGCTGAAGTCAAAACAGCGGAGTTGAATGCTAAAATGGAAGAACTAGGAGAGAGCAATCTGCGAAATCTGACATTCGACAACAGTAAATCCGTTAGTTCATACCATGATATTTCCATCTAAGCTGTTTCATCACTCGATGTCCGGCTTACCAGAGCAGCTCTGTTTCAGGTCTACAATTTCGAAGGGGAGAATTGGAAGGGTAAACAAAGCGAAGGAATGGGACATTTTTGGATCGAACCACCTAAGCGTGAACGGAAGGCTAACTATCAAGTAAGAGAAACTGAAACTCGCAACGGGTTTCTATCTTTCCTATTTTCATCTTAACACTTCTGTATCAGTTTGCCGCGAATGTTATGTATTAGTTACATCATTATCTAAAAATATGCGCGGGATAACGTTCACTTTTTCCATTATAGGTGGACGCTTACTTCCGAGAAGCCATGCGCCAGGGTCAGCCAGTTGAGAAGCAGTCTCGTGCTCCTCGTCCGAAACAACCGGCCGTTTTCGATTTCCAGTTTTATCCACCTCGCCTCATGGAACTGCTCGATCGTGAAACGTATCATTACCGGAAGACTATAGGTTACAAGGTTAGGAAAAACTCGCTCAAAATTCGAAACATTTATTGAGTATGTGCGTGTGCGTGCTCCTGGTCAGGCTCCTATAAATTACAAATCTCCGATGTATGGGGCAGGTGATCCAATCTGTGATTCTTCTTCATTGTCGTCGATCGAGATTCCGCCGTTTATTTTCATAGCTACCTGAAATGTATTCATTGGTGCTGGAAAAGTGGATTGGGCTCTGCAACATCAAAAAAGTACAGCAGTAACTCTTGGAGAAGTTCACGCATTTCGCGGTGGCAATTTTTTTTTGCAAAATGGTGTATGTACTAAAAGGAGTATGGATTCATCAAATGTTTTATACATCATCAAAAACCTTGTTTCCCCTTCTCCGAGTTCTCACTTAGGTCCACTTTCTGTCCTACCTCAGCATCGTCTTCTTCGAGGCTTGTTTCTGATCCCCATATGCTATCGCTGTGATCTCCACCTTCCTCCATCAAATCTTCCGGGAACTTGATAAGCTTGGGTTTGTTGTTTGAGTTTCGAATCGGAAACACAAGGTATTGTGTTTCTTGAAAGCTGTTGACATCATCGAGACTCCCCATGCTGAAAAAATCTTGGATTTGGAGGGGAATTTAAGGAACCTCCACTAACCGAAGGTGAAATATACATGCGTACCTCATCCTTCCATCACGCGATGAGGTTCTGCTTATTGTCGAAGGCGGATGGTGTACTATTGTTGCGGATTGATGACCAACGAAATTTTCTTCGTCTTCTTTGTTCGTTTCGATAGGTGGGATCTAGAAAAATTTCTCTGTGTCGATTCTTTGTTGGGTCTTTGGTGGTTTGTTTCCCATACCTTGAAAATTTTGTCACTGGAACTCCCGTTCATGTGTGGATAAGGCGTCCTGGGAAAACTCGGTTCAACTTTGTTTTGGAGATTTCCCAAACTGCGAGTTATGCGAAGTTCTCTGCCTGTTAGTTCTGTGCAGTATTTCTCCGCTGAAATATTCATTGGTGAACGAAGCTGTAGTTTCATTCCAGTATTCATAAAAGCTCTGTGACACTTCGCTAAAAATTATTATGTAAATGTCTGCTTGAAGCAACGCGTACGTAGATTAGTTGAGAGCGTCACTGAGCTCGCGTTATCGAATTAGCGCGAGATAAGCTCTCTCTCATTTTAAGCAGGATTGAAAGCAGGCAGTCAGACTCTCTTGGCGTTTTGAAGCTAGCTGGAATATGAAATGTGAACTTTGCAAAAGTACGGGAACCTTGCAAACCTCGTTCAGTTGTGATCTCTCCATCATAGTAAGCGCGTTCGATGAGTTCCGGACCGTTCGATGGAGATAGGTAGAACGCAGGTGTCTGATGCGAACCACGCCGAAGTGTTGGTCGCATTACTTGCTGCAGTCTTTCGCTGATTTTCCTCATCGAACCTGCATGGTCTTGACGATCGTACACAAGCGATAACTTGTAGCCCTTCAACGGTTGGTATTGGGATCTTTGAAATTTTGCAACATTTTGTGACCACTACCTCATGAAGAACGTCTTGCAGTAGGTTGTAATCGACCGTATTCGTGGGTGGCTCTTCGAGTAATGCCCATGGGCTACTTTGCCCTCTCATTATGGAGCCATTCTCATCGATCCTGAAAAACTGATTTCTTGTATGCGGTATAGGAAAGTCGGAAGCACATTATTGGGCGACATGCCACAATTCTGACGTTGACACTGCTTTCCCCACATACGGACTTGAAAAAATTAGTCTGGTGAACCTACGTACACAATGTTGTCGCAGGTCTGCTCTCGTTTGCAGATGACAAGTTTAGTGCGTGGAGGTCGAAGTACGATGAGCGGCACCATGAGATGCCATGCGTACTGTAGATTCATCAAACAGTTTTTGTCTCCAAGAGTGAATTCGTTCACGAAGAAAAGCATCGCCTCGGCGTTCTTGAGTAGCGACCGTGTTGGAGTAGTCTCATCCCAGCGGTCACCATTACATGCTACGTAGTATTCCGGAAGTAGATCTTGGATGATGGCTTGCAGCGAGCTGAATTGACAAGTTTTTTTTTCTTCTCGATCTATTCATCGCATCATTTATTAGTGGGAATGTGACTTGTTGGGGATTTTGTGCGATTTATTTGGTTCATTAGGAGAGGGCTTAAGAGAGACGAGTTGTAATAAGGGGCCCTTTCCCTCAAAGTTCTTCAGAGATCAATTGTGAAGTCTACAAAAAAGGTAGCACCATACGTAGTATCCTGAATACAAGAGTGTTCGACTAAATGCAGACAAAACTGATTTTGACTTGTTTTGATGTTAACTGCTGTTTTTGGCCGCAGTTCGCCTTGCGAATGTTTCACAAGAATGCTGGGTTGTGAACAAAACTTTCGCCCCAGGACGGGACTCGAACCCGCAATCCGGTAAGCGAGAGGTGCGGGTTTGAGTCCCGTCT